AGAATGATTGTAGTCCCCTTGTCTAGATGTCTTTTAGTAAGGTATACTGACATCCACTCCTCTCTCAGCTGTAAATTGCAAGTCTGCTACTACTAAAAGATCACATATGAAATTGACCTTCACGTTGATGGGAACAAATATGCCGCTGAATGAATCAGAGAATGCCTGATTTGTAAAAATTACTATCTGCTCTATTTTCCATTTCCCAAATGTTATAATCACTTTCTTAACAATGACTGGGAGAAATAAGTGAAATCACATTTGACAGAGAATGTATACATTTTATAGCAACAACTGTTTTTCAGAAAAATCACAGTAGAACTTTTAATCGCATACCAGGACAAAATGAATTTGTCTTAAATTAATTACATCCAGTTAATATGATTACTCTCACATATCAAATATTTTCCTTCTACTGGCACATAAAATACTGGCAACATTTGAAAGGACTTTAGAGTCTATCACCAAGGTTTTCAGAAACCTTAAGCTCTGGACTTTGCTTTATGATTAGTAAAAACAAACTCCTTTATTCTTATTAAAAACATGTTTAAATCAACACTGTATGTGCTATGCAAAGAAAAAGTATATTTTCATTAAGATCCAAGACTCGCAGTCCTATTACAGTGAAAGGTATCTGTCATTTCAAAATCCTCAAGAGTCCACTAAATAATACCCATTGTCTGAACTATTAACCAGACTATCAAATGTTCAAACCATGCCTAAAAAAAATTTAATACACAAAACATACTGAGCCCAAGTATGAATTTACTTGCATTATTTTGGTTTTCCAGGTATAGAGTCTTCATGAGACCCAGAGATTTCACTGCCAGAGGTACTTCATCTTTCAGGTATCAGGCACAAATGGACTGATCAAGCTGTCATGCAGCATCACATCCCATGGAGTCAGACATAGCTCATTATAAGATGAAAGTTGGAGCAATTTCTAGGTTTTGCTCCTTCACTGGTTCCTCATTATGCCACAGTTGTCGGCTCCGCTGAAAGTGAAGCCATCTTCAGTTTGCCATTACTTCCCCAGAGGTCCGCTGGGCTCAGCCTTAATCATTTCAAAATGTCATTTGTGCCTAGCTCTAAATTAAGTGTGGGAACTAACTCTGCCATGGCAAACTTTTAACCTGCACAAGAGCCATATTATTTACTGGTACTATTCCTCTTCTAACTAATTAGAAACACCCAAAGCGATAACACTTAAAGAGACACAGTGGCACACCAAACTGGGAGGAAACACTACGTGGTAAACTAGAATATATTAATACTTAAAAAAAATATTCTTATCTACATATAGAAATGTTATAGTCAGTTTCTAGTGGCATTCCCACCACATAAGGATTGTGGAAAGTGAGCTTTCCATCGTGTACTATTGCAAATGGGGCCAGAAACCATGCGAATGCAGGATGGGCTCCTAAAAATGATTTCCTTGCCTCGTGTAACTACAGATTCTGAGAGCAAACAAATAAATGAAGAGACTTTCTTTCTAACATTCTGTATCAGGCTATAGAAGGACGTGGAAGCCCTGTGAAACAAAATAGGTCAGGTATGTGGCTGAGACCACAGATACTATATTTACTTTTTTAAAGTCTGGGATGCAGCTGGGCACTAAACATAGCTGCTTTTGCTCCAAGGACAAGTCTACAGCTGGTGGACTGCTTTCCCTTTCCAAAAATGTCTGCGAGTTTAATTAAACTTCTGGAATAAACCTGTTGGCAAGAGACATCACCTTATCAGCAGACTGACCGCTTGCCTTCCAAGTAAGTTATTAGCTTTATTGCAGAACTGTAGTTGGATGTCACATGGGATTAATGTCTGACGTAATTTGCTGTTTGGTCTTTATAATTTTAAGAGGAAATACTTAAGTTTTTTTTTTCCTCTACTCCTTTCCTTTTTTTTTTTTTTTGCACTGCAATAAATAAATGGATTGCTGCACACAGCTGTTTATAATATATAGTAGGCAATAAGGAAATGGATTTAAATGGATTTGTGTCACAGTCTTGATTTTACAAGATAAAAATATATAGCATGGGTTCATTTGAAGAAGAAAAAAAATGCTCTGCATTTCCAAAGCAAAAACAAAACAATAGGCTTTGTGCACTTTTGAAAATCTCCATATGTACTGAGAGATGCTGAATAAATAATGTTCTATCTTAATTATGGGGTTGGGTCAGGATATGCAATAGATTACCTGTTCTCCTGCTCACTGATCTTTGCTTAAGTATATTTTCAAAAGAAAAATGAATCTTTGTGGCAATTTTGATGGATCTTCTCTGTGACTTCAATTTACCTTTTTCGCTAGGTGACGATGGGTATTTTGGCGATACTAATCCTCCCACTGCTTGTGGTTGGAATCAGTGGGATTGTATACATTTATCGGATGGTTACTCAGCTGATGTCGAAGTCTGCTATGCGGAGCAAAGTTGTAATAATCAGTGATGCTCTCTCTGGCTTGGGCAAGGGTAAGCAGCGCAGCAAGTGACTTATATTCTATAGTGTAACCACACAAACGTACACAGGTTGCAAAAGTAAACATTTCTATGACTGCAGTTTGCCTCCTGGAATCTAGCTATTTGATGCGTGACACATCCAGGATTCTAAGACCTTCAGCATTCATTTAAAAGAAATAGTGCCCTGTTTCTCAACCTTAACAACTTTAAGAAATCTGGACTTCAGTGTTGGCTAGGGAATTCTGGGAGCTGGACTCCAGCCATCTTAAAGTTGCTAAGATTGAGAAACACTGAAATAGGGAAATGTAAGCCTTGTGATTATAAAGGAAAACCTAGAAATACAAGAAGCATTAAATACTCAAAAACTAGAAACTGGACCAGCGATCGAGGCTTCAGCCCCGTAAATCAATAGGGAAGCCATGCAAATAGTGTATTGGAGCAGAGTGGGCCTTTTCAAGTGAGCACATTCGCAGAGGAGTTTCTCCAAATTACTCTGTTTATTCCTATTCACCTATACATTTCTTCCTACAGAATATAATCTATGTTCTGTGCCCAATCTGAAATATTGCCTTCTAATGGTCCATATGCATTCTGTACCTATTATAACACCTTGGAACAAATTACATTGTCTGCAGAATCCCGAATTCCAAATATTGCAGCTTACATAAATCAGAGAAGCTAAACATAATCCATGGGGTATGAAGACGGGGGAAGGGGGGTAAAAAAGGGACTGAACTCTGCATTGACAGTATAAATGTATAACAATAGATCTACAGGTAGTATGATTTTGCAAGAAATCTGATCATGCATTGCTTTGTTGTTTTGTTTGGCGCCAACTTTCAGAATTCAATGTGGTTAAAAATAATAATATTTTGCACAAACTGTAAGCAGCAATAAAAACTTAATTGTATTTATTTAGAGATTTGCATCCACCAATATCTCTTACAATGCAACTACTGAAATGTGGGTTAGGAAGAACAGCACTTAGATCCACAATTAGTTGGAAAAACTGCCTCTACAAACTGTATGCCTTAGGAGAAAAAAAAATCTATTTATAGTTGGCTGGCTGCACTGTAGTGGTGAGAACCATTTGCGCATACAGGACGTATGAAGTGGCAGCAGTGTGATATAAATAGCTTATTTCTGTAATCCCTAAATTATGCACCAGTGGTGAGTTTTAAGGTCCAGGATCAAGCAGTTGAGATACAAAGGGTTATCTTGAAGCAAAATTATTTGCAGACCTTGGAGCAAAGACCTTGAACCTGCAGCCATGGTTTGGTGAATGAATGAAGCTCATAGCTACAGAAATGTCAGGGGAATAGAAAATGATCCCTTTCAGAAGTATGCAGGAAGCTTGCTGCTCTGCTGCCAGTCAGGAGGGAGGAAACAGGAGACATCAACTGAGAAATCATTGGGGTCATGTGCACCATTGGCAAACATACTAGGAAAAATGCATCAAGTGACAGAACAAGACAACATTATACAGATATACATTTCATCCCCAAGTAGTGAATTTTGCAGAACTCTTGTGTTTACTGGAGCTGGACCAGAACAGAGTGTGGAAGATGTAAGAAATCTCTTGTTAAATAGGTAGAGATTATTCCAAATTGTAGATAGCTGTGTTCTTCTGTTCTATAACGTTGCTTAATCATATTGCCAGATTTCTCTTATATAGGGTATCCTACAAGAAGATTGTGGTATGTTTTTATGAAAAGGAGAATGCTGTTCACCTATTTTAAATATTTTGTCCTTATTTTCACATAGAGAGAGATGCATACTGTGGTTGAGTTCATGCATCTCACTAATCTAAAATGTGGTGGCTTAATTTTTAACTCTGTGTTGTATAAACCCAAGAAATCAAGTTAATTCAATAAAGTTTGATTCAGTTAATGATTTTACTCTGGGTTTTGGCCAAAAAACCATTTGCTCCTTCCAAGCTGCCATTTTGTCTCTTTCCCTGCTAACACTGTATTTTCTGGTTTTCTCTTCCATCTGGCATTCCATGCTGCAGCTACTGAGCATGCTCTGTGTATCCTAGGCTATTTCTTGTGAGGATGTCCAGGGGTAGAATTCTTTCTTTTTTCTATCACAAGGTGACAGCCACAGTGACTATCAGCAGCCAATTCTCTCTTGGGCACTCTTGCCACTGACATACTGTACGTTGTTGAAGCTCATGAAGTGTTGGCTGCCCAGAGTTCCCAGGCTTACCTTTCCAGGATGGGGAGGGGAGACCTTTGGAAGGCATCATCACCACTGCACACTACAACTGCCCCAGTGGTGACTTTCTATGGAAGATATTTCCAGCAATTCATTTCCAAGCTGGTAACAGAGGAAGATACATCTCTTCCACCACATCCTGTGTGGATGACGCCAAGAATCAGAGACAAAGCAAAAATCCTGCTCTGGTATCCCTCTACATTTCTACATTGAATGAGGAGTATTAAATAAGCTGCTTTTTACCTCACTCAGCATAGACATGCAGCAGGCTCCTGACCTTGCTCTAGCAACATGGATGCATTTATGGTGATCTGAGAGAAATGGACCCTGAGCTCCTATGTCCACAGGCCCCCTACATGAACGGTATTTCTTGGTTGATGATTTCTGATGATTTCACTTAACTTCTTTGCATACGCCTCTCACTGCAGAGGATCTGCTCACTGGAAACATCATGACGTCTTTGCGTTTTCAGTACTGTAGCCCAACTGCAGTGGTCCTGGGTTCTACTTGTTGCACCCAATGCTTTGCACAAGACTTCATAGAATCCATTTGTAAGCAAACGGAGGTACAAATATGTTTGTTTGGAAATGTACGGATTATAGCTTGAGGGTACAGCGCATTTGTTTAACCATCCATAAGATCTGTATTTGAAGCATAAACAGTTGAGTGTGTGTGTGTGGGGGGGTCCATCTGTGTGGTAACGCTGAGGTGAGAAGAATATTTTTTCTGTTGTTAGGGTTGAATGAGCAAGAACAGAGATACAGTATTACTATTCCAATTAACTTGAATTATCCCTTGGTTTATCTTCCAGAATGTTCACGAGTATTTCATACAGGAGGAGCAAGGCTGATTTTGTGTGGGAAACACCTGGACAAATTAGAAGCTCTCTATGATGCTTTAAACAGTGTGGCTGATCCTACTGCAGTAAGTCCCTTGTATTGCATATCTTTAAAGAACTATATAAAGGCAACAAAAGAGACACTTGATATAGAATGGCCAGGGTTTTGTGTTTTTTTTAGTATGTCTGAATTAAAAATTGCTTGCCAACAAACTAATTATCTACAGGTTAATTATTCATTCTGAACCTGTGGATAATTAGTTTGATAAAAGATGGCAATAGACCACAGGCTGTAAGATGTAGTTTCAGAAAAATATAGATGATCACTCAACATTTCAAACAGTATGCAGTGCATACAGTATAAACCCTGCAATATTTTTAGCATTCGATCAAGACAAACTTATTTCCCAAGACATTTTAAAATTAGTTTTATTGCCTCTCTTTGCAATTTTATGATTTTGTTGTCTCTCAGTATTATCTTATAGGATGAATGATAACACTGTTTAATTTATATTATTATGCATTACTGGAAAATATCAAAATTAAGACCAGTCTAGTTTGGTTGTTTTTAATTGATGAATGAATGATGCTGCTTTATAGTAAAGAGGTAGTGTACATGATACACATTTTTTTCCCCATATAATCACAACCAGTTATTTCCAAATATGAGGTCAGAAAATTATATAAAGAGACACATAGGTGATCCTGGATTTAATCAGCAGGAGGACTACCAAATCTTCTAAAGTGACACTTCTATCAAAGGAACTGCTACTAATTATACCTTTAATGTACTGATTCTACTTTATGTTGATCTTTGGATCTGATTTCCTTCTACATGGTTGTGCTCATCTGATAAACCCCATTTCTTCTACCGTCAGCTAGGCTGACTGGGAATTCTGGGAGCACTACATCCAAAAGTATGCAAATTGGGGAAGGTGCTTTATTGTCTCATACGGGAATTAGCTCTTTTTTTGTTAAGTATTGTACTTCAAAAACTACTAAGATATCTCTGTATTACAAGCGACATAGTGCGGTAACAAAAAAACCCTGCTTCTTTTGTAGACATTTACACCGAAGCTTATCCTTTTAGATCTTGCTGATGTAAACTGTATCCAAGATGTAGCTAAAGAAATCCTGGATTGTTACGGATGCGTTGATGTACTCATTCACACTGCTAGCACAACAGCCAAGGGGACAGTTCAGAACATGTCACTGGAACTTGACAAAAAGATCATGGATGCCAACTACTTTGGACCTATAACACTCACCAAAGGTATATGGAAGACTGCCTCTGTTATCTTGTTATTTCTCTTTCAGGAAGGCTATATTTTTGCCCTTGAAAGGGAAGAATCATTAGTACATTTTATGCATACCTATCTCAATTTTATGCCAGTTTAACTGTCATGGCTTTCCCCAGATAATCCTACAAGATGGAGGGCTGCATGCAAATCCAATTGCCTAAGGCTCCCTGGAGAGAATAAAACCTGTACCTGTAGGACAATACGCTTTAATTTCTAATAGCTCTTTCAGCTCTTACTAGATTTGACTCAGTGGTGTGTAAGTACTTTGAACACCCCTACTTACTCACATAGAAAAGAGGAGGAAGGAGAAAGAAATGGAGGTGGGTTAAATAAAGAAAAAATGATGCAGTGATTTTAGTAACTTCTGCTTACATCTGCCTTGATTGCAGACTTAGGTGCATTGTGGAATTATTCCAAGGACTTGCTGAGTTTGAGGAGAGGTTTATTAATGAAGGGGCTTTGGCAGAATATTGCTTGCTTATATAGCATTTTCCTCTAATAGTATATTTATGTAACGACTCACTTGTTGCGCTCAGCCTTAATCAAGGTGTTTACTGTTGTTGGTTAGATGCCACTGAGTCAGCCCTGACTCCTGTGGACTGTATGGAAGAATGTCTGCCATCTTATCCTTTCTCTGGTGATAGCTGCAGCTGCTTTGGTCTTTGCCCATA